TCCTGTTCCCTCCTCTCCATACCCTAAAAGGGTAGGAGGGAATGGATGCAAAGCTCTATGTCCTCCTCTCAAGTTTGCTTCCAGCCCTTGTCTTTCTGTTCAACATACCATGTGGAGCTCAGTCAGATCCCTTGGTGCTTCAGGGGGCAGCAGGAGGCGAAAGAATTGATAGATCATGGGCCAAGATCATAGGTTGTTGTTGGTCATAACCATATTTTCCTGGTAGCTAGGCAATTAGCATTTGAATTAGCCCACAGGCCATTAGCTGTCAATTCTTCTTTAAACTTTTTAAAGGATTAATTAACAGTGCCATGACTGGAACTCAGTAAAAGCCACTGAGAAACATGTGTTGAGAAAAATCAGAGAAAAACACTTTGTAGCTGTTTTTGCATGATTTTCTAATCATAATACCATGGTATTTGAATAAAACTAAATGTCTTTGATAATTCAAGTGGAAAAAAATCCAGTTCAAATAATGTCTTCAGAAGAGGAATCAAATTATTGTCTCTCTGTGAACATACTTAATTTTCACCTTATGCTTAAGACCTGAGTTGCAAAAATATACCCACTGATGTCTCGTGTGCTCTATCAAGCAACTTGCATTGATAATCCTAATTTGTGCATTCAACTTAATATACTGAAAATTAAAATGCCTTTTTCATTTTGCAAAGAATGTGACAGGACAAATTATTTTAATGCATCTGGATGACCTGTTTCAAATGCCTCTTTAATCAGCTTAATTTAGCATATTTTACATTTGCATTTTGTATTCAGCCTCATTTGTACTGCCACGTTACACTTTGAATGACATAATTACTTCTGTACTGAAGGCTCCAGAGCTTTGATTATTTGAGGGGCATAGACCAGAATGGGATTTATGACAGGTTTGAAAGTAACAGGACATTAATGCATTAGCAAGAATCAGAAAGTCTTCCATAACGTCAGTGAGTGTTTTGTGACATTCTTCTTTGCTTCTTCCTCCCCATCCTCTTTTAATGCCAAGTAGTATAGATACACAACGATGCAACTCATGGTTTCTTGAGCTCACAGGCTTGGCTCCTCACATTTCTTTATAAAGTTCTAGCTAGAGACTTCCAACTTTTAAAAGCAATTTTACCAATATAGTTGGGAAAGATCAGATGAAAACAAGCAAGCAAGGAAATAAATTTTAGTGTGTCAGGGTTAAACCCCAGCTAGCAACTAAGTACCACGCAGCTTCTCACTCAGTTCCTCACCTTCCCCTTCCACTGGTGGCATGAGGAGGACAATAAGATACAGGTTAAACCTGTGTGTTGAGATAAGAGCAATTTAATAATTGAAATAAATTATAATAAAAACAAAATAATATTATTTATAATAATTAATAATAATTCTGAAAATAAAAAGAGAATGAATCCCAAGAGAAACAAGAGCTGCACAATTTCTCACCACCTGCTGACCAATGTCCATTCCATCTCTGAACAGTGACCATCCCTACCTGGCCAGCTCTCCCAGTTCATTTCCTGGGCAGGAACTCTATGGGATATGGAATATTCCTTTGGGCAGTTTGGATCAGCTGTCCTGGCTGTGCTTCCTCCCAGCTCCTTGTGCACCTGCTGGCTGGCAGAGCATGGGAAACTGAAAAGTCCTAAACTCCGTGTAAGCACTGACAGAAACAACTAAAACATCTGTGTGTTATCAACCTTATTCTGATTCTGAATCCAAAACACAGCACTCTACCAGCTACTAGGCATAAAATTAACTCTGTAATCACTGAGACCAGATGATGGTTTGGGAGTTTGTTACCATACATCTGACATCTTTAGGTTAGTATAAGATTATTTATCTAGCATTGTGTGTCATAATATTCTCTGTATTTACTGGCTTGGTCTTTCATATTATCTCGTGCAGTATTAGCAGGAGGGAGAGGGTACTCAGCCACTGCAAATTTGGCAACTAGCCAATACATAAATAGAGGCGATGAAAGCTGTGGAAAATTGCTTATTTCCTACCTCATTCCAGAGAGGGGATTACAAGAATGGAAACTCTCCAGAGACAGCAAAGCTGACACTCCAAAAAAAGCTTTTGAGAGGAAAGTTTAGAAGACACGTGGGAAATTTTGAGTAGAAGAAATACAGAGAAGGGTATGCTTCTGTAGACAATCTATAGTGGACTAATCTGACGTGACAAGCTATGATCTGGTCAGGGAAGGTGACCTTCATGAAAAAGACTCTACTATTCAAGAGGAAAAGAAAAGATGAAGAAGGATCCTAGAAAATTTTACAGCAGATTAATTTTCTGGCCCAAAGAGTTTTTTTAGAAAAGTCAAGAAAATCAACCCTGATCTTGTACTGAGGATTACTTATTTTTTATCTCTGTTTCAGTACTTTCTATATTGTAAAGTCAAGATTGGTAGTATCATGCAGGCTAGTACATAATTTGTTTAGTGGCAGTTGTTTCATACCTGTCATGTAACCCTGACATAATAAGCCATGTGTAATCATGAAAGGCTCTTCCTCTGCATTTCTCTATGTGCCTAAACCCCCAGACAGCAGGCCCTGCCAGTCTTCAAAAGCTTCTCCTGCATTGATCATTTTGATGGGTCATCTTCACACAAGGACACTGGGTCTGAAGCTCTCCTAGAACAGCCGTAGAAAGGTTCTGGACAGGGTCCAGTCCCTTTTTAAGAGTCTTTAACTTGCATTCCTCTCTGCCTGAGCTCCTCTGAGCTTGTGGAGACAAGCCTTTGAGGAGCTGATTTCATGGGAATATCTGGGCAGGGTACTGTTTTGATTCCTCATTCATTGCTTTGCTGTGCTCCTTTGTGGGTGTGCAGGAAGCTTTTGCCACATAACCTAAGACATCTCATCACCCTGGGCTCTGTTTGAAGGCTTTTATTCTCCTCTGATCAGAAACACACCAAATTATTCGAAGGGGAAAATACCATATATGACATTTCCATTATAGAGCAAATTCTACTTTAAGCTCTACGTTCCATGGGCTCATTCACAGAAGCCCATGTCCTTACCTCTGCAGGCTTTTTGTTTTGTTTTGGTTTTTGTTTTGTTTTTTGTTGCAGATGAATGATCAGGGGAGTTTTACGGTATCTTCTTGGATGGATCAATCTTAATGGAACTATCTAAAAACTGAGTATTTTAGAAGACTAATTTATGGAAGCCCTCTCCAGAGTTTTACTGAGATAAATGCAGATCTTAGAAATAATTATAAAAACATACCTCTTCTAATTTAGCACTTGGGAACATATGTTTTGAGGCTTCCATTTTTTGAGGTTGTTTCATTTAACAGGGAATGGATCTGCATAAGCAGATCAGTCCACTGTGTAAGGGCCAGCTGGCACTGTCCTGTAGCTATCACAGAAATGTCACCAGCCTCCTTCTGCAAAGTTCCACAATCAGGAAAGTCCAAGTCTGGTAAGCATGGGAAGTCAGAAACCTTCAGAGAAACTGTCGTGGCTTGAACAACAAATACTATTAATCTGGAGATTATCAAATCCTTTAATCTGTTTTTAATCTGTTTTTAATCTCTGTATTTTTAAAGCTGCTTCTTAGAAATTTTAAATCAAGAGATGCTTTCTTATCAGTTTCTGGGTTCACTATTTAGCAGGATCAGAGGGTCTTGTGTCACATGGATGGGGCTAGGTATGCACCTCCCATCTCCCAGCTCAGGTGTCAGGGCAGACGGCTGTATCAAAGGCTTACATTATTAAATCTTAACCCCAGTTTCACATCAAGAATCAGCATAGGTGCACTTTCATAGGACACAATTTTTAGCTGATGTCAGTGAAATGATGCAGGTGATGCTGACTGGCTGCCCTTTGGCACAGACGTCATTCATCACGTGCATCAGGCCATGTGATATCCACTTGTTTCCACTTATACCTGTCCATAGGTATTCTTTCTATGTTGACAGAGTTTTACAGAAAGAAGGGAGATGAAGAGAAAAGCAAAGGATTTTGTATGGACTGGAAAACGTAGATGTGAAAATGTAGGGCTAGATCATCCCATGAGCACTGCATTATGCCTCAGGGACTAGGCTTGAATCCCTCAGAGAGAGCTAATAGCAAAAGCATGTAGGTGTGTAGTTGCTGCTCCTCTTCCTTCCTGTGCCCAACATGCAGCACTCAAAAGATAGCGATAAGAAAGGATGGCATGTAAATTATTGGCATAAAATTTTGGGGGGAACTATTTTCTCGTTTTGTGTGACCCATCCATCCTTTTGTCAGGGACTTAAATATTGAACCTGAAGCCAAAAGCCAGTTCTTTTACTGGAGTCAGCGCAGTCAGCAGCTTGTCATCTGAAGTGCATGATAAACACTAATCACTGTAGCTGAGGCTATATTACCAGCTCCCTAAGGAGTGATCAGTTGTTAAACAATGATTGAGCTCATTAAAGAAATGTATGAATGAGTAATTTTTGTGTAACCACCAGAAAAACAAACCTCTGTAGCGCAGTCTGATGAATGGCCAAAGAGTGCATGTGCCCCTGTGCCCACCTGGGCACCAGCTGGAGGGAGCAGTCAGCCACACTCACAGGACTCTCCACAGCTCAGCCTCTAGTGCACTGAACATTTTCTCTCCCAATCCCAACACATTTTATCTAACTTTGGTGAGAATGATGAGTGATATAATAAAGAAAATTCCAGCAGTGAGTACTGGAAAGAGATGAACTGCCTTGAGGATTTGATCATGACATTTAAATTCCAATCTGTAATTTCTGTCATTCTACTTTGTTATATTCTGTTTATAAACTCTGTGTTGTAATCACAAACTGTTTGCCATGCTGTCTTGAAATTACCTAAGTCCTTTATCTTAGCATGAAATTGCATTTGGCTGCTTATCTTGTTTGTCTATGCTCAACTTCTATTGATTTCAAAGGTTCATGTTGCCTAAGGTCTTTGACTGGAATGCATATTTCCTCACATGTTCAGAAAGAGGTAAATTGTTGTTCATAGGGTCAAGAAAAAAAACCTCCAATAACAAACCAAGCACCTATTAAAGGACAATCTGTGGGTTTCTCCTTCTACATAGCATTTCACACTGTGACAGAGTCTGTGTGTGTGAGAGAGAGAAGAATGGAGAAGTCCAGGAAAGCATTTGCTGATTTTGTAGACAATGCAATAGCAACTGCCAACTCAATGCGTCCTGATGAATTGATGTTTTCTTACAAGGGAATTCTCTACCCTGCCAGTATTTGCAGTCCTGAAACATTCAAAGCCTTGGAGTCATTTGAAGCCAGAAGTGATGATGTAATTTTGGCAGGATACCTTAAATCCGGTGAATATGTTTTAATTTCTTTTCATAAACAAGGTTCTGTAATAGCAAGTTGCAAGGTTTGTACTAAATATATGCAATATATATTATATGATACGTAACACTTTATATTACGCTAAATAATAGTATTGAGAATGTTCGCAAAATCTTGTAAAACTGATTTCAATTTCAAAAAGTGCAACAAATTAATTACGAATATCTCGTATGGGAAATCTTCTGAAAGACTGAGAAAAACAACCTGATTTTCTTTTCTATAGCATATAAAGGTTTTTGTTATCTTTATTTTTCATAGTGATGAAGTGAAATGCACAAATTGAAGATAATCAAAATACAGGTTTTTAGACCAGAGATAACTAGATGTCTTGATATTACATAATCTGCTTTCACATTTATTTTTGTGATGTTAAGAGTTTCATGTTTTTACACAGAATGGAGCTTTTGGTACCTTCAAATGCTGAATATTCTTTAGTTTGTTTCACATAGATGTCAGGAAATAGATATCAAAAATATTTTGTAGTCCTTGAAGTGATTACATTGTTCTTCAACTACTAGGAAATCAAGATGAGATCTTTGCTAGGGTTGCAAATTTACCCTATGTATTTGCTTCTTCTGCCTGAAAGCACTGATCCGTGTGAAAGCCAAAGGTTTAGATTAGATGTTAATACTATATATACTATATTATATACTTTAATACAGCTGCTTCTCTCTTTCAACAATCAACTCACACTGCCTCACAGTATATAGTCACAGCTGACAGGATTGTGAGGTTTTTGCTTTTTTATTGTATTTTCTTTTTGAAGAAATGTTATGCGCTTGAATGTAGTTGTTAAGATTGCAGTGAGCAAGATGTAAGCACCCAGTGTCTAGAAGTCAGGAAATGGTAAATTAGAGATGTGAGATCTGTGCAGGCTCTTTGTTATCTTTTGAATAAAAATATAATAAATGTGTATAGGAAACGTACCTTCATAGAGTTTTTTCCTATTTTTGAAGAAAATGAGTGCACAATTTTCAGGTCTAGTTCGGCTCCTGTGTTGAAGTACTGTGACCCATCTTTCTTCCTAAAATAATCCAGCGTACCAGAAAACAACACTTAATACATTACGTTTTAAAGCACAGGTTTACCACCCTAGTTTCCCTTATATTTATCACAATAAAATTTATTGCAGTAATGCAGGTTTTCCTAGTTGAATTTTAGTGGTTCTTCTCCCTTGTTAGTTAGTTTACAATATACGTTTATTGTGTACTGAACTATTCAAGTTGGAGAAATATGTCTTTATGAGGAGCAAAGGTAGGACCCTGGGAGATGACTGACCAGATAGTCAGCTGTGATTGTATCACATGAAAGGAGCCCAAGTAACTCACCTGGCAGTACTACTACCTCTTGACTTCCCTGGTAAATCTATTTCTGTTCATTCTAAAAGTTTTACAAGCAATTCTGTATTTTTCTTCTTTCAGGCACAAACTGGCTAAGTCAAATCTTAACTGACCTCATAGCTATATCTCAAAAGAAAACACTGGGTGAGGAAAGCAGTGGGAATGCTGAAGAAGAATTCCCCTACCTTGAAGTTGGAGATCCTGGGAAATATGAGGTGGGAACACGATATGTATGGAAATTATCAAAATTTTGTGCTTCAAATACTGAATATATGATGTATGAACATCAACGTATTCAATAACAAACAATTCCATTATTTGATAAGAACTTTACCACTTGTCTTTATGTAGCATCTGGTCAGGATTAACCTCATCTGGACTGTCAAATACTGAAGGATAAATGAACACTCCAGTGGGAGTGGGAGGAGCACATACCCGTGAGATACATAAGAACTTCAGAAATTCAACATAGCATCTTTTGTATTTAAAAAGAGCTTCATGAAGTGTCAAATAATGAAATATGAGCTTTTGTCTCTTTTACTAGTTCTTCCTCCTCATCCCCTCTCTCAGTCCTTGAGATGCTCCAGGTTTCACATATAGCTAATCTGTACCCTGCCTCTAGATTTGATCCCTTGTCTAACAGAACTGAAGAGAATTATCACTGAAGAGAACTAACAATGGATAGTCTTTTTCCAATTGTTCATTGGCTTTTGAAGATTAGAGCTACTCAAAGAAGCCCACTAATTTCCCAGGCCAGGACAACACTCACAAAAAAACCCCAAAAATCCACTTCTATCAGCCAATAGCTGTTGAAAAATTAATCAAGGCAATATTTTAGCATAGGTTAATGGAAAGAATGCTTGTATTAACTGAACTGTCCACTTTCCTCTTTCCAATTCTTAAAGCGAATGATCAACTTACCTTCTCCAAGATTTATGGTTACTCATCTCCGTCCTGAAAATCTTCCCACGTCTATCTTCAAAAACAAAGCCAAGGTGAGTGCTAATTTTAATGTATTAAAAACAAATGCTTCAACAGATTTTTCTATTTTTCTTTTTTAAGCAATGTAGTACTTTTCTGCCAGTTTTCAGAATCACTCTTAAGTGCTTAGCCTGGCCATTTCTACATGACTGATTAAGAACTGCAATCTATCTCACTTAACCCCAGTTAGCTCTTACTGGCACCTTTGTGATGGTTTTCACAAGACAGTTGAAGGGCTTGAACAAGTCCTCCAGAGGAAAAATGTATTTTGACATGATTTCCTGTGGGAGGAATTTTATTACATTGTTGCAAGCGAGGGCTTCAATGTGTCAAATTTCAGGGAGAGTTTATATTTTTGTGAATTTTCCCTGCTACTTAAATGATGAACTATGCTTGTATTGAGCAAAACATATTTAGATTCTGCTTAAATAATTTGGTTAATCAGTAAAAGATAATAATCATAAGCAACCATCTTGTCGTGGTACCAAACCAAAGTTAAATACTGCACCTTCTCAATTGGGAATGAAATTGCTACTTCTGCAAGTAGCACCACAAGGTATTAGAAATCCCCAACTGCAGCTATAAAGGATATTATAATTATTATTATTTCTTTTTTAATGCTATAACCTGCTATGTCTTTCTCTATAAATAATTAATTTAATTTTTTTCTAGATATTGTTACTGATTCGTAATCCAAAAGACGTAGCTACATCTTTTTACCATTTTTCCAATGGCCTGGCTACTCTTCCCTCCTATGAGACCTGGGATGCTTTCTTCACAGATTTCGTGTCAAAGAAAGGTACAGTATATTTTTCTGCCTGTGTCAATTTTCCAATGACTTGTCTTTGTCTAAAAACCATTGTACTTTGGTAAATCAGCTTCACTAGGATTTTTTGGTTTACAGCAAAAAAGCAGAGATTAAAGACAGAGAATTAGAAATCTGAACTGAATTGTCTTACTGCTTGAGGATAAATATTTGTCAAAACTGTACTTCCATGGATTTCTTTAGCTTGTATAATCTGGTATTTTTCCTAGAAGAAACAGTTCTTCCTTATGTCTATCTCGAGTCCTCTTTACCCCCACTGTCTTATGTGCATCATCTTGCATCCATGGAGATATATAATCAGCTCCATGCCAAATTGAATAAAAGGAATTATTTGGACTAAGTCTAGTGCATTAAAAAGTGGATTAAGTCTAATGCATTAAAAAAGAGAAAAAGTTTAGTTTAAACTTTTGAGTTTGGCGTAGCACATGGCCAGCAGAAGGGAGGGTTCAATAAGGTTTTAGACTGGATTAAGGGAGTCTTACAAGATGGTCTGCAAGATGATAGCTTTTTGGTGGACTCACAGCTGTCTTGAAATACTAACAAGTTTTATTTTTCTGACTTACAAGTGGTATCATATGCCTGAGCCTGGAGCAAAACCTATAATTCCCACAGAAGGGTGTAAACTCTGCTATAGACATAATTAATAAATCCCTTGTCTGGGACAACTTAATGAGTAAAACTTGTATAATCTTAATTTAAGCTTCATTTTAGGATCCTTTTGTTTTATTTAGTGGCCTGGGGATGCTACTTTGAATACCTTTCTGAATGGAATAAATATGTTGACAAAGAAAATATTATGACAATAACTTATGAAGAGCTAAAAGAGGTAAGGTTACCAATAGTTACAAATACTCTACCCTTTATACAAATTAAGGTTACCAATAATTACAAGTACTTTACATTTCAAGGGACATTTTTTCCTGAACCAATTCACCATTATGTGCATGCAGGATATCCAAAGTGTGTGAGATAGATTATAGTTTTAAGGGAATAAAATGTGAAATTCAAACTTAAAAACCTTAAATTTTGCTTCTGAAAATGATTCTTGTTTTTTATTTTTTGTGATATAAGCCCAAATAATTGTAAATCAAAATATTCAGCATTTTTTTTGAGGAGGAACTTTTATGTTTTCAGCAGTGTAGATTTTTCTACACTTTAAATAATACATATAATTTTTTTGTAATGTACAGGAAGGCAGCTCTCATCTCCTCCAAAATAATTATGGAGAAGAGAAACACTATGGACCACTCTAGTCCTAGTCAATTCTATGAATACCCTATGTATGCAGCCAGCAGAGAGATATAAGGAAGTGTAAACACCTTGGAAAGCAGCCTAATTTGTTTGAAAGTCATGCCATATGTTAGATTCCTCTTTCCAGGATCGTGCTCTGGGTGTGAAAAACATAGCTGCATTCTTTGGAATTCCTCTGACTGAGGAAGAGCTCCAGCTTGTTGTAGAGAGGAGCAGCTTCCAGTCTATGAAGAAAAACTCAGAGAAGACCCATGGGGCGTTTGGCGATATTCTCTTTCGCAAAGGTAGGAAGCTCCAAGTAGCTCAGAGGCAGAAATGTCACACTCTCAAGAACTTGGGCCATCCTTCGGTTCTTTTTCTTGCACTCATATTGGCATTGCAAGTTCGTATCAAGCAGGTTATCACTGCTTTGCTTGAGAAGACTTCAAGGAGAACTGGTGGGGAAGATACCCAGCAAGGCTCTCACAGCAGAGCCACTTATAGAGGCCGACAGATGGCTGGCAAGAAGGAGAAGCTGCTGTGTCTGAATTCCTCTCCACCTCTGTGCTTGGATCACCAATTGCCCAGCCATTAGAGGCTTTCCTGAGCAGGCAGCACTGGGCCAAACTCAACTGAGTGGTGTGACCAAACTTTTTAGGGGAGTATATGAATCTTCTGAAATGGCTACTGTCAAATGCCTGCTCATACTTACACATTAGAAGCAAGCAAGAATCCAGGTCACACAAGAAAGGAAACAGAAAGGATCAACTTTTGCAGTGTAGTGTAGGGGACATGGACATGAGAAGGGCAACATGGTTGTCAGAATCTATGTCTGCATTTTACATTAAAGTAGTAACATGATAAAATCTCAAACTGCTAAAGGAGCAGAAACTCAGCTCTACCTCCTGGCAGATGATTCTTAATTCTTCATGATCTTCCACTTTGCCAGTCATAACTGACTAGAGGAGAGATGTAGGGAAACAATACTTTAGGCTGCCTTTTTGAACAGAAAAAAGGGGAGTATGTTCTTTTGCATTATAGGAAAAGATTATTCATGTATATGTAACTCCATCGATTTAACACAATTACATTGATGTAGAAAAATGTTTTGTCTGGAAAATGGATCAACACTATTTAGTGTATAATGCAATAAAAATAACAGATCTAGAGAATAAAAAATAAAATTTCTTGGTTTTCAAGAGTTTCTTTGCTTCTTTGAAGGTGCTGTAAGTGACTGGAAGAATATTTTCAGTGAAGATCAGAATGAGAAAATGGACAAAGTGTTTGAAGAACACATAGCAGGAACTAAGCTCGGAAAAAAGTTGAAGTATGACGTGTACTGCAAAGCCTGAAGAGTAATGAAATGTGGTTAGAACAAGAACTTTGCAAGGCAGACTCAGATCATCTGGATGCTATACACTGGAAAACTAGATCAAACGATCCAAGCACTTTAGAATTACTGTAAGAATCATGACAGCAGTCTTTACAGCGACAGTGATGAGTAATGGTTTTTTGTTTTATGGTGAGATCTTTGGCTACACCTATTTGCTGAAGATGTCAACTAATCATATTTACAAATACTCTACAGCCCTGTTCCAGCTGTGATCTGGAAGGAAATGACTTTTTCTTTCTAACCAAATTCTATCTTTCTAGACTATTCATAATTATTTAATATGTAGATTATTTTTTTCTTCAAGAATGTTTCAAATAAAACAACACTTTCACAGAAAATATCACTGAATGACAGAAGCCTAATAACAAAGGAGATCTTCCATGAATTCAGCACAAGCTAAATCAAAGCTAGAGGGAGGAGAAAAAAAGGGAGTACGGATCAACATTCTTAAGGCTTTTCATGTCTCTGAATGCAAAATATCAAGTTGGATTTCAGATTATGGGCTGATGTTTAAAGGCAAGATTCCCTCAGAGGCACTGCTTTTTATAGGATCACAGAGCAGCCTAGGTTGGAAGAGACCTTGAAAAATCATCTGGTCCTTTCATGATGAAGGGAGCCTAGATGAAATCTTATCTAGATATCATATCTTGAAAACCTCCAGTGATGAGGATTCTACCATGTTCCTGGAGGCATTTTCCCAGCAAATCATTTCTCTTGCTGTAAAGAATTTACTTCCTGTATCAAGATTAAACCTCTCCTGTTGCAACTTGAACTCACTGCCTATTTTCTTCTCCATGTGATGTCTCTTGAATAGGGAGCCTTTATCCTCTTTGTAGCTGCCCTTTAAGTACTGGAAACTGTGATGAGGCTGTCCCTGAACCTCCTCAACTTTGTGGTCCTCCCATGGAACCCGTCTGGTTTGTCTGTGTCTTTCTTGAAAATGCCTCAATTGAGATAATGCATTGTCAAGAGTAATGGTGCAAGACATTGCTATGCCCAGCTCTCTTGTACTGCCATTGGCATTTGCCTCTCTAGACACAGTATTTCAGACTTGTCCAGGGACTTTTTCTGGAAAAAAAGACAAAATAATGTTCTGTAAGTATAGTTGAATTAAAAACAGGAAAAAAACCCCCACAATTTATAGATCCATCACCTGAGCAGATAAGACATAAAGATAAAGATGGAAACAATAAAGTATTTGAAGATTTTTTTGTTTCATTCTTCTGAAGCTGGTTGGTTCTGCCTGGACATAAGTGGACATGCAGAGTTCTGTAAAGAAATAGGAATGCTAGAAATAGTACTTAGAATATTTAGAAAAAATGAATGGATTCATAATCAGAGCAGCAGAAAGTCCTGTGGCAAGCCATCTTTGAACAATTACAGATCATCTGTAAGCAACCAGAAAGGTACCAGATTCCTGGAGGAGAACATACATATTAGCAGTGTTTAAAAACTTGAGAAGGAAGAATCAAAATAGAACAGCCACCTTAACTTGATACATAGAAATGTAGTAGCAAAAATGACAAAGCAACCAACCATGGAACTTTTTGAAGATAATGAAATAGTAAATATAAATCATATTAAAGAAGTTTATGATCTTCCTTAAGATAACTTACCTCTTGAATAAGGCACTGACAGAAAATACAAGAGCTGACAGCATCAGGGAGGGCCTGAAATTATGTGACTAAAGACAAATTTATGTGGAGATGGCAATGTACAAATGTGGTTATAGAAATGAAAGTATTGAAAGTAGACTTATGTTCATAGAAATTAATACAACAGCAATAAAAGGCATTCAGAAGCACTGTCAGCAGCAGCAATAGTTTCAGGAATGTCTACTTGTTTACATGGATATTATGAACTTGGTTGCAGTAGTATGCTCATGGTCACACTGCAATACTGGTTGACATCAAAACTGGCAGGGCAATTAAAGCAATATCCTTTAGTGGTGAGTCCTAGTCATATTCAGTGTTGTTTTTAACACTGGTGGGCAGGCTAATATCATGGACTGTATCATAAATGACTGACTTTAAAGTCTGGGGATCAGAACAGAGGGCTGAAAGTACTAGTAAAAATGGTAAAACCATTTGACACATAACAAATTGAGATTAGGGAACACAAAGTTTAGTAAAGGGAAGTGCAAAACTCTATATTTAGAAAAGGGAAGGCAAAGGAGCAGGTATTTGATGGGGGTAAATCAGTCAGGCAGCAGTCGGCATAAAAATACCTGAGGAATCACACTCAGCAAGGACTAACACGATGACAGTGCTAGGAAAAAAAAGGCTCAGATCTTATTCTCGTCTTGCTGATGTGATTGAAAACCAAACTATGACCTCCATTTGCAGTTTTATCCTCTTGTGTGTCATCCCAAGGCTTGAATTCAGTCCCTTTGTGCCCTTAACAATCTCACTGAAGACAGAGCTATTCAGAGCAGTAACACCTCATGTGCTTTTGCTCCATTAGAGATACTATGTGGGCCCGTGCATTCATTGGGTAAGGAGGTGGAAGAAAGGAGGCAAGATGCCATATCAAAAAATTAATCTAGGCAAGGAAACTGGATGGATGACTAACATTTTGAGAGAGTGAAAAGTCAGCAGAGATAAAAACAGTGAGTGTGAGAATCAATACAGAAAATCTTGTGAATCTTTTTTGAATAATTGACTGACACAATAGTAGTGGCTATCAAAATTTATTACTTCTAGGTTCTTACCAATTGTAAAAAAAAAAAAAAAGAAAAGTATCTTTCTTTTTGTTCTAGTCTATTTTGTTGCCTATGATGCCTAAAAAGATAGATTTCCACTGAAAAGGATGTTCATATTTTATTTTTGTCTGTTTGCTTTAAAGAGAATGAAAAAATCAGAAAATTTATATTAACCCATCTTCCACCTCATGTCCTTTCCCAAATCCATTTCCAAAGCAAAGTTAAGGTGAGTCTTTTGTTAAGATGCATCTTCTCTTTATGGTGTACTGCAAATGCTCCTGATAACAGCATTTCCATCCAAGGCAGATTTTCCTGTGGCTAACTGAACAACTCAGAGTTTTCTCTGGGGACCACAGGGGCTGTTCCACACTCAGGATCCCTGGTTGCCCTGAGCCTCTCTGGAGAGACAGAGCTGCTCTGGCCCCCCGTGCCTGCAGCTCCTGAGAAGACTGATCTATGGCTGTGACAGCACTGAAGACCCTGCTCATGAGCAGAGAGCAGAGTCTAAGGGTTAAAGAACCTGGAGACACCTGTGTCCCCAATGGCTCTAGTGACAGTTTGCTAAATTTCATGATGAGGTATTATAGCGATCTGACTCCTTCAGGATCCAGGCAAGTGGCTCCAAAGAAAATTTCTCAGGAAGCTGGCCTGAGAAAAAAAAGTTAATTTCTTGATGCCCTTACTCTTTAATACTGGAAAACAGGAGAAATTTTCCTTTACAATTCACAGTTAACCCATGGACAAAAAGCTGAAAACAATAACTAAAAAAATCTTACAGAAAGCATAATATATGAACAATGTCTTCAACTTTTAAGAGTAAAATATCACTGATAGAGAAAATATTTTGAGTAAAATGGTCTATTTTGTTAGCTCTACATTTTGAGAGACCAGAAAAATAATTTTAACTTATTCTTTGTAGGTAATTTTAAGCAATCTTCCAAGTCTTACAGTTATGATTTTGATTTGATACTTTCTCATGTTTAATTAATCTTGTGTACAGGTTTACTGAGTGTCTAACATCCATTTATGAAGAAAGAGACAAGGATGTGACACAAGGGTTTGATATATGGGTAGTGAACAAGACTCATACTGTATTCAAGGGACGAAAGAGATTGAAAGGCCCCTTCACAGGGTAATTCACTTTCCGTATTGCCTGTCTCTGTTGGGATGATCAGTGAAGGTACCCATTTCACTGTCTCAGCACTCCTTATCTTCTAAAAAGGTATCACTCAGAATACAAATAACAACCCCATAAGAAACACTTCCACCAAAAGATTAAATTATGGACATGAGGAGAGAGAAATGAAAGTTAAGTAGTACAAGTAGAATTTGATTTACACGTGTGATGGGTTGACCTGGGAAGAAGAAACTCAGAGAGAGGTTCTCTCTAAGGGAGCTTCCTCTGTGGGGGTTGGGACAACTTCAACAGCCAATGGGAGAAAGTTAGTTCTCTCCATGAACACACATTTTGAAGGAGATAATCCAGAACTGAGCCTTTTTGTCTTTTCAGTGGCAGAGCAGGTAACACCAACCCGAGCTCCACCCCCCATGCTGGGGGAGGCTCGGGAGGCTGCTGGGCCCCGTTTGCCAACGAGGAGACCCGATGGCCGGGAGGAGGAGAGGCTCCTTGATAAGACCTTCATGGCTTCCTCCTCCACGGGCCTGCGGCTCTGGGCGGGGCCCGGTTCCCGCTGCTGTCGGAAGGGCCGGGCCTGCCCAGCCCCCACGCGGCCTGGGGGAGGCAGCCGGGCCCTGTCTGGGGAGCAGGGGTGGCCATGAGCAGGGTCGGGCCCTGTCTGGGAGCAGGGGTGGCCATGAGCAGTGTGGGGCTGCAGCCCAGCCCCAGAAAGGCTGAGTGACACCTCAGCCACCCCCACAGAGCAGCCTGAGCCTGGCCCAACTCTTGTAGTTGTGTTAAACTTTAACTCTTTAGTGCTCAGATAAGATTTGCAAAACCTCTGGCCTTCCTTTGAATATGCAAGGGAATAAGAAGATTTCTGAAGTCAGTAAAGAAAGAGCTAAGTTTTTTTTACATGGAAGGAGAATGAGGAGATGCTGTAGATGGCTGAAAATCCTTTTGTAAGATTGTAGGGATGAACTGATGTACTGAATATTCCTACAAACCATGGAGAAAGACATGGGGGGTTGGAGATGTTCCATTTGATGGATGATTTGACCAAAGAGCACCTGTGTTGAGAATCTTTGCCCTGAGGAAAGAAGGGGATCTCAGTTTTCTGAGGATGAAGCATGAACAGAGAGAAAAGAAATGAAGAGAACTCTTGCTGTGGAACATTTCATTCTTAAAAGTAATACCCCATGAGAAAGACATGGCCCACATCTACAGCTTTGGGAAGGCTGTGGAGTTGGGAGGAGTGTCACAATTGCAGGTCTGGGCGGATGCAAATCATGAAAATGAAACCACGAGAGGACTGTTTTCTTCCTTCTTGTGGAAAAAATCCCTACAGCTTCAACAAGAGGAGGCTTCTCTCTCCAGAAGTGAACTGCAAAAGACTTGAGTTGGGAATTGACAGAAGCAGTTGTTATATGTTTGTTTTGTTGTTATAAAGGTTGGGAGAGGGAAGGAAGGAAGGAGTAGTCTGAAAAAAAATCTTATTCTGAATTTGGTTTTTTTTCCCTTTGTTTGTGTAGTTAATAAATTTCTTTTTTTATATACTCTCTTAAGTTTTAGGCCTGCCTTGCTTTTTTGCTCCTGGTTCTGTCTCACAACAGAAAATAAGTATATTTAAATTGGCAAATCAAAACTAAAACATTATTTGGTGCATTGGCCAATAAATGAAATTAAATCAAGACATTTTTAAAAAAAATTAAATTAAACCAAGACAACACTAAAGCAGAACCTAAGTATTAAAACTTCATATGCAAGTGACCCTCCTGTAGGATTTGAGTGAAAATACTCAGATGTGAGTATTTCATCATGAGAAGTCTGCTTTAGGTGATACCTGTCCTTAGTTCTGGACATTGCCTTATAGCGACTGAATGCAGGTCAGAGTCATCACTTGTAAAGAACCTATATTCTGGGATATGTATCCACTATACAGTCAATATCCACTATATAGTCAATAGCAAGCCAGTTTGAGATTCACTGTCCAGGTATTAACTACATACATGTTCCTTGTCCAGTTGGCAAATTGCACTGCATTAGTCACTAGTTATAAATATTTCAGGAAATATCCTTTACCTGTCATTCTTTGGTTTAATTTAACATTTTTAATCCTATTAGTTGTTGCCTCAATAATTCCTGTTCCTAGTATCAGTTGCAGCAAAGGCCATATGTCACTACTGTCAGTCTCCATGGAGTTCTGTAACGTCAAAAGGGGTTAACAGAGTACAGAGTTAATCAGTGACTTGCACTTTGATCCCTGAGTGAACACCCTGAACTCATGTGTTGCATAGAGCTTTCCTGCATTGTGCAAAGACAGCCTGTATCTCTTTGGGAAGATTTACACAGGGATACAAACATGACCAGAAACAGTGCAAGAATCATTGAAATAGCGGACAATGTTTTTCAGAGGGTGACAAGATGGCCCCAGAAGACATGATGTTTTCCTACAAAGGTATTTTATACCCAGCTACAATTACCAGCCCAGAGACTTCGGAAGCTCTGAAATCCTTTGAAGCCAGGAGCGATGATGTAATTCTAGTAGGTTATCCTAAAACAAGTGAGTGTTTTCTTGATCAGTAGTCAAGTACACAGTGCTACAATCCAGAAGTTGATTACTTAATGCCATCACTTAACACAGCAATAATTCCTGAGAAAAGCTTATAATGACATCAGACTTCAAAGAATCATGAATATAAGTTGTACGGCATATCTGGAGCTCAAATAATACAAACCCCTGCTCAAAGCAGGGGAAAGTCCTAAGCTCAAAGGTTAGGTCTGGTTGTCAAGGTTGTCTGGTAGGTCAAGGCCTTGCCTTTGGGACACATATTGAGAAAGTAAGAAAATTACAGCCTGAAAAATATACCAGGCTGGAGCTTTTCAGCTCTGTTCCCAGCCGATAAACTGGTCCAGCTCAAGGCTAGGGAGAATTTCTCCCAGGGTGATAATTTGGTCAAAATAAAAAGGAATTAATAACAAGATCGAACACCTGTTGTGGTGCATGACCAGGCCCTGGGAATGAGGTGTCTTCTCTCTGAACCAACCTTTTCTCTACTCCTGGAGTTGAGAGTCATGCTATAAAACAAAGTGTGTTTCTGAATAAACTTGTCTCTTTCTTCCTTCCATGAAAGATGACCATGTAGCTGTGCATCTTATTTCTGCTGCACTTAAAGGGTTAAAACCCCTTTCTGCGGCTACACTTGCCCAGAAGGGTTTTGAAACTTTTGAGGATGGAGGTTCACCACTCACTGAAATATTTTGCAGTGTTTTCTTACAACAGTGGTTTCCTGGGGGTTGGGTTTTTCTTTGTTTGTTTTTATATCAATGCAGTCAGACATTCCCTTCTTGTGAGAGAGGCTCTGACTTTATTATTACCTTCAGTAGTGGAAGACTGCAGTGAGAGTCTCCCATGCCTTTTTGCTTATATCTCCAGCCAGAGCAAACCAAGCCTTTCTATGCCTTTCATTTGCTCCAGCTCCCATTACTTTCATGGAAATTCAAGACTTTCTCCAGATTCTCAAAATCATTTGTGCTTCAGTCTAGGAACTGCATACAGTATTCAAATGGAGAACACTCCAGTGCCAGCTGAAGCAGGATAATCGCATCCCTTGATATTTTGGCCACACTTGCTAATAAAATAAAGTATGCTGTTACCTTACTCTCTGCAAGAGCAATACAGGGAATATATCCTGCTAATGAGAGCAGAACTGCTGTTTCCATATTTTTACTGCATTGCAGAATGCAGGTGATTCTTTTGTATCTAAATAGAGGCAAACACATGAATACCACAAGGATTTTTACATATTTTACACAGCTTCCACTGTGGGCATTTTAGACTCCTTAATTTTTTTTCTTATTGATGTTACAGAAATATCTTAAATATGTAATTTGCAGAAAAAGAAGAAGCTGATCCTTATCACATCACCTTTGTGTGCAGCCTCTAGAGATGTACATAAGCAGAAAGGGTTTATGTGTGTGAGGATCCACCTAAACACTGCAGGAGGTGTTGGTTGAAAACTGAGATTTGGTTCTCTGAACCCAGTCCCTTATCCACCAGTTCTCTCAGGTTGCAGACGCCAAGACAAATAAGTCTGATGCAAAGATGGTGTCAGGAGTGTGGTGGTCTGATGGCTTGTTTGATGACCCTTCTGCTGCCAGATACAGAAGCCTAGCTGAGAATTGTGAATGAGGCCAAACTGTGTCAATAATCAAGAGACCATGAACTGAAGCTGGTTGGAAAGAGAGAACAGAGTGCTCCCAAAGACAGCACTGTGTAAGGAAAGCAGAAACAACCAAGAGATAACTCAGTTGGCCCAGTGCTGGGAGCCACACAGCTCTTGAATAATTTCCACAGGGAGCAGTGTGACATAACCAAAAAGTACCAGAGTTTAAAAGAGCAATAGAGGTCTGCTTCTGCTTCTGCCGAGGGATATGATATGATTCTGAAGCAAGCAGGGTAGCTCTTCACAGTATCTGCTTAACAGCTCCACCCCTGTTGACCTTAGGCATATCCTTGATTATTTATCAGGGCCATGATTTAACCTCAGTTGGCAACTCACAGCTCAACTCAGTGGCCCCACAGGGCCACTCTTTTACCTGCAACGGGTGAAGGAGGGAAACAGAGTGAGAGGAGTCATGGGTTGAAATAAAGACAGTTAAATAGGTAAAGTAAGGGCTATGTGTGCAAGCAAAGCAAAGTAAGGAATTCATTCTGTCCTACCAGAAGTCAAATGTTCAGCCATCTCCAAGGTTCCATCACCCATGACAGTGACATGGTAAGACAAGTGCCATAGCTCTCAGCATCTTTCTTTCTTTCTTCTTCCCTCAAATTTTATTGCTGGTCATGATTCCATATGGAATATGAATAGAATACTCTTTGGGTCAGCTGGAGTCAGCTGTCCCATTTATGTCCCCTTGTGCACCTGCAAGGTACTCTCTGGCAGGTCAGTGTGAGAAGTAGAGAAGGCCTTGACTATGTGTAATTACTGCCCAGTAATAACTTAAACATCTCTAAAACAATCAACATTGTTTTCAGCACAAATTCAACACATAGCTACCCTACCGTCTACTATGGGGAAAATGAATTCTATTGCAGCAAAAACCAGCACACGCACTTGTTGAAAGGTTAAAGTACAACACTGAGCCAGCTGGTTCGCTTGAAACCAATTTGACAGGATGTCATCAGCCAGATTTACATGAAAATGTGAAGTTGAATGGATGTCTTTATCCTTTCAGTAACCAATTGGCTTGAACAAATGGCGAAGGAGATGGCAGATGCCAAATATACAGAAGAGGAAATGAAAGAGAGAATAAATGCTGAAAAGAAGCTAGAGATATTTCAGTGTCTAGAATTGGGGGATCCTGGGATATATGAGGTAAGCAGGAACTGCAAATACTGTAACTGCTCTTCCTGTAGGTAGTAATAGCTGAAAGACGATGGCTGATCCCAGAGGTGATGGAGAACCTAGAGCCTTCACAACAGCTTTGATCTGCACAAGTAGCATGTGCTACTGCCTCTGGTGTCCCAACACAAGGGCCTCAGATGGGAGACAGGGCTGAGAAGGCACAGGGTCCTCCTGCCATAAACCCAGTGAGTTTGATTAGTAAGACCTTTTTCTTTGGTGACCTGTTCTTAGGCTTGTGTCATGTGAAATGGTGCTTTGTTGCAGAAGTTGGCAGAAGCCTACACCACCAGTTCATCCCTATGGGTTTTCCAAGGGATAAGATACTTCTCTGGTCTCACCTTTTCTTATAACCCACAATCACTGTATAGGCACAACTCACTGAATAAGCTACTTCTGTCTTATCACATTTCTTTTCGCTTTCTTTAAAGAGGAGGAAGCAGCTTCCTTCAAGAATTATAGTAACCAATCTGAGACCTGATTTCCTGCCTCCATCCATTTTCCAAACCAAGGCTAAGGTGAGTCTTCTCTTTGCATCACACTGCAAAAGCTTTCCATACTAAATCAGCTTTCCTCTGTATGAGGTGTCTTTTCTGCATTTTCACCTGAGCTGGTCAAGGCACAGCCACATTTCCAAGGTTGAAGGTTAGCTGACTATTGGTGGGCTTGTTGCTGAGTGTCACTGTCCTTTCAGATCTCCTTCAGAAAGATGCTTCCAGTTTGCTGGCAGAAAACTGGGCAAGGCAAGGGGTAATTCTGCCTAGTTGAACTTACCTTCAAAACCAGGGTACCTGTGGAAAGCCCACCACAGGCTGGGGCTAAGATAATCTTAGGAATTTCTGCAGAGAGGAGCTAGGGTGCATCTAGAGACTGTTTGTGGCTCTTTTGTTCAGTAGATCATGAACTAATTTCTCTGGATTTGAACTAGGTCAGAACTGTCTTGAGGGAATGACTGAAAAGCTTCTTGTTTTCAGCCTGAAGCTTACATTAACAACAAGTGATCTGCCAAAGCTCTGATTTCTTACTCAAGAAAAGGAATTAGACTAGAATTGTATGGTCTGTTGAATTTTAGTGGACAAGTAAGCTTGCAGACAACACCAAGCTTGGTGGGAGTGTTGATTTGCTGGAGGGTAGGAGCTCTGCAGAGGGATTTGAACAGATAATGGGCTGAGGACAATTGTATGAGGTTAAATAAGGTATGTACTGGCTCCTACAAAATGGGGCTCACAACAACCCCATGCAGCAATCAAGGCTGGGGGCAGAGTGGCTAGAAAGCTGCCCAGTGGAAAAAGACCTGAGGATACTTGATGACAGTGGTTGAACATGGAGCCAGAAATGTGCCTGGGTGGACAAGAAAGACGGTGGCATCCTGGCCTGGATCAATAATAGTGTGGCCAGCAGGACCAGGGCAGTGATTGTCCCTGTACTTGGCACTGGTAAGTGACACACCTTGAGTACTCTGTCCAATTTTAGACACTTCACTGCAAAAAGGACACTGAGGTGCTGGAGTGAGTCCAGAGAAGGGCAATGGAGCTGGTGAAGTCTCTGGAGCACAAGTCTTAGGAGAAGCAGCTGAGGGAGCAGGGATTGTTTAGCCTGGAGAAAAGGAGGCTCGGGAGGACCTTGCTACTCTGCACAACCACCTGAAGGGAGGCTGTAGCTGGGGGGGGGGGCGTGGTCCTTTCTCAGAGTGATGAGTGACAGAACAAAAGGAAATGGCCTCAAGTTGAACTGAGGGAGGTTTAGATCTGGATCTGAGAAAAAATTTCTTCATTGAAAGGGTTGCCAAGCATTAGAGCTGGCTGTCAGGGAAGTGTTTGAGTCACTGTTCCTGAAGATATTTTAAAAATATGTAGATCTGGTACTTATGGACATGGTTTAGTGATGAACTTGATAGTTCTTGCTTAATGGTTGGACTTGATGGCCTAAATGATTCTGTGATTCAATGATTCTCTGTGATGTGCCAAGCAGATGGAATTTTCGTCAGTCAGATTGTGTGTTTTCTTCCTCTAGATCCTTGTGCTAGTTCGGAACCCTAAGGACACGGCTGTCTCCTATTACCGCTTCAGCAACAACCTACCAGATTTGCCTTTGACTCCTGGGATGACTTCTTTGCAGACTTCATGAATGGAAAATGTACTTTCCCCTACATCCTCTGGCATTTCTCCTAACATAAGTGGCATACACCGGGCCCTGTGCATGGGAATCCTACTGTGACATACCTTACCAAGGCACTGCCCCTGTTTTGGCAGAAACGGAGTACAAGAGAATGAGAGTTTTGTCTCTCACTTGGAATGGAGAGGTCATAAGAAAACCTCAGCCTGACTTTTCCAATTCCCACAAGAGACCTTGTAGTTTGCCATATCAAGTGACCAGACCTGGGCCATTCTGTACTGACCTGAAGAGACAGAATAGACATGTTGAGCTGGTCACCCCTTCACCATTCTAAAGCCACACTAAGAAAGCTGTCTGTGCTGACTCCCCTGATTTGGTTAAGGGCCTGTATTGGGGAGTACTCTAGACAGATAGGCCTCTTCTTTGTTTGCAGTGGCCTGGGGATCCTACTTTGACCACCTTGTGGAATGGAACAAATACATTGACAATGAGAAGATCATGACAATAAGCTACGAGGAACTCAAAGAGGTGTAGCATTCCACCCAGCTCTTCCTTGGTAAGTGTGCTGTGCATCCCTCCTGATATGTATGGGTGTGGGAAAGTAGAAACTCTGGGAGCAAGTCTGTCTGCCCCTTAGAAGCTTGTACCTTTCTAAGTTACTAATTTATGTCTGGGGGAAGCCCATGGAGGTTAGGAGGAGGATAGCCTTGCCTATCTGTGAAAGAAGTTTTATCTGGAAGAGGCTTAGATTTTGGAAAAGAAGAAAAGGCCTTGAAACTGAGGCCAGCATGTGTAGGTTTCCTGGCCTGAAAGGTTTTCTGTTAGAGAAATTATCTTGGAATTCCTTGATGACATTGTGGGAGACAGCTTCTCCTGCTGGGCTTCCCACAGGGTGCTGGCTCCATGCCACAGCCACAGTGTAAAATCTTTTGGTTTCACCTCTGTGCTATGTTTCTTTGGGCAGGACACAATACTGGGGATGAAAAAGATTGCTTCCTTCTTTGGATTTTCCCTGTGTGAGGAAGATTTTTCCAGAATTGCCAAGAAGACCACTTTCAAACCTATGAAAGAGAAAGCCAGTGAAACCCATGAAAAGTTTGGCAATGTCCTCTTCCAGAAAGGTAAGTCTCTGCAAATGGAGATTTACCTCCTGAAGGAGAACTCCAGAAGGAGTTTTGAATATGTTACTTTACTTTGCTGTGAACTCATTGGGCTGTCTGGGAGAACTGTCTCCTGTGGTGCCACCTGTACAAAAAGCTTCTGCTGTTGACAGGATTTGAGGGCTGTTTGTGAGAAACTTATCAGAGTGCCAGTCTTAATGTCCTCAGTCACTGCTTCCATGTTGCTGTCTTTTTCTGCAGCAGCCCTGGTTATTTAGGTAAGTGAGGTGCAAAGGTGAGGGCCACCAGCACTGGTGAGGTTATAGTAACAGTAACAAACCGAATCTTCCTGGGCTCTGTGCAACTCTTTGTTACTCGGTGTTGAGGTGCAGCTCTTTCCTGCTGTTCAGGTGATGAGGCTGCACGTGTCACTTCATGAAAGTCACCTTTTGGAGGAGGTGTGATAAGGGGACAAGAGTCTCTTGAACCTCAAGGGAATGCATTGCTCACTGCTCTGCTGGCCTCAGAAGCATCTTCCTGTTACCTATTCAGCAAGAGCTTTATAGATCTCCTTTCAATGGACATGTCAGTGGTGGTCCCAGAGATGGTTTCTCACAGATCTGGGGCCAGGGTCAGAGCTCTGGCAGCCTTCCTGCTCCCCATGACCTCAAGAGTCTTGCTTTTCTGAATACTGTGAGCATGGGCTTTTAAAAACCCATTTCTTTCACCACTCCTTGGAGGAATAGGGATTTAGCCACACTCTACCACCTACCACAGAAAAATTTCTCCCTTCAGAGGAAGTAACTCACGAATGAGCTTTCCCTTGTGACAAAACCAGATTCCCCTTTCTTCTGTGTAAAATCTTCATGAAGTCACCTTGGAAATCCCCTTCTGGGGAGGGAGCATTTGCAGACAGCTAGCTAGCAATGCTCTCTGTTGTCTGGCTACAGCTTTTGCTTCTGATCTTTGCTACCTTTCCTCTCCCAGACCTCTCAGGGCAATAAATATGATTCTTCCTGCCTTGTGTAGTCAATGACTCTGCCCCACTGCTGCCTAGATACTATTCACTCTCAGGAGCACCTTCCTTCAGTTTTTGGTACTTGTACACAGGGCATGTTGGAAGCTGGAGAGACGTCTTCTCTAAAGCTCAGAATGAAGAAATGTACCAGAAATTTCAAGACTCCTTAGGAGGAACAAAGATGGCAGCAAAGATAAAATATGATGTGTACTGCAAGGCCTGAAAATAAGCAGATGAATAGCATGGCAGCAAGTCACGTTCCAAAGGTGATTTGTCCCCATTTTTCATTCCAATGAGCGAAGAGAGAAACCCCTCTGAGAACTACCCAGCACCTCCCAGAATTTGGTGGGTAATTCTTAGGTGTGTCCAGGGTCTAGAGCTTGTACTTTGATTGATGTAACCAAATAAAATGTGTGTATACCTCAAGTGAATGCCTGACATCCTTTCAGGAGGGAGATGGTGCACAGACATCTTAGCACCAGTCTGGTGAAATCCCTGTCTCTGCTTCTTGGCCTGAAATGATGAATAAGGTCCCTGCAGCTCTTGTTGGTAGACAGAGGGATCAACACAGAGCCTCTCCTCTGGCACAGAGTGGACTTGACATGGATATATGGTGTGGGTCTGAACCATCAAATGTCTGTGTACAGGTAGAATATGTTAGTCTGGGTTTAGATCCATCATAGCTACCATGGTGTTGGCAGGTCAGGAAGGCCTTTGACACTTTGACAAATTTCACACATTGGTATGGCAAAGGGTGGAACTTCTCAAAGAGCCATGAACTCTTAAAGAATGAACAGCTATATGCTTTCTGGAGTGTTTCGTTCCTGTCGGACTCTCTGGGAAGGTAAGTGGCAAGCAAGAAGAACCACAACATTCAAATGGGAGGAAGGAAGGAAAGAAGCCCCTTGATGACTGTAGGCTAAACTAGCTAAACTATGAGAGTGGTATTTATTTGACAATAAATACACTTAGCTACACAGGTATGTTTTCCACACTCTCCTTGCTGATGTCAATGTCCTTGCTACATCTATGCAGAATGTGTTGCTGACCCCTTGCCACAACCAGTCTTCTGGGAAAGCAGAACAGCCGAGGAGGTGTCTGTCTGGTAAATAGAATTTGGTTCCTTGGAAGAGGGATTCCTCTGTCATATTCTTAGGTAGATTTACCAACAGACTCTTACACTGAACTAAGATTAAATACTGAGCAACCAGCAATCACAAATGTAATTAACACAACTGGGAAATTGCTAAGTCCCTGTCAAAGCGCTGACTGTCCCTGGACAGCCCCTTGGGACTACCCCTACCCTGCCCATGGCCCAGGACTCCACGTGAACCCCTGCTCCAGAGGCTCTCAGCCCTTCCTCCAGTGATGGCACGGCAGGGTCAGGCTTCAGCTTCTCACACTCTGCCCTGCCTGGTCACTGTCCCTGCCAAGCTGGACCCATCCACAGACTCACATCCTGCCCAATCCTCAGGAGAGTGTCTGATGCCTGGGCTGGGGCTGCCCAAGTGCCCCTGGCTGGACAGTGGGATGTGCTCTGGCTGCCATGCCCTGCATCCCCTGTCTCTGTGACAGGGATAATGGGGAATGATGCAGATTCAGCTCTGAAGGGCCACTCAAAGCCCGCTTCCCAGGCAGATTTTCTAAATGTGTGTGCAAGAGCTGCACGTGTCAAAAAGCTCTGCGTGGAGAGGTATGTTTGTTTGAACCTGATGATTCTGGGTTTGTAGGTTTTCATTTCCATGGATGCAAAAGAGGCAAGCGACCATAGCCTTTAATTTTGGAAATAGCAACATTTCTACCTGTTACTTAGTACAGACCCTATACAGTTTACTATATGGTGATATCAAAAGCTGTCTAGACAACAGAAAACACTGTAATCTCAGTGTATGCAGGGAGTTGAACAAGGAGTTAAACAAGTGAACAAGCCTGACCCTAAATGGAAAAACAATCACTGAAATATTCAAAAGGCTTTTATTAACATAGAGAGGTGACATCATAAAGTCTGTTGGTTTGGTTTTTTCTTCTGCAAAGGTTTTTTACAGGCTAAGGGTCCTTAGCAGCCCAGAAATTTTGGAGACTCTGAAGTTCTTGTAAATCAGAAGTGATGATGTGATTCTCACCAGCTTCCCTAAGATGGCTGAGTCTTTCTTCCTTGATGAAGTGTCCATTGCTGCAGTACAGAATTGTGTGGCTACACATAACATAGCAGTAATGCCCATGACTGGTTAATGATCACTTCAGATTCCTGTGGAGGCACAAGAGCATGGGTTTCTCCCTGGAGGAAGGCAGAGGGTGCTTCCATAGCCTTTCTTCATTGCAGGATGTAAGTAATTTCTTGGTGCTGGGTGGAGCTACAGGCTCACCTGCCACCCAGACTCTTGGGCCCTTTTCCTCTCCCTTCCCATGCCTTTCAGTCCCAGCATTTGGGTTTACTGGTTACCTTCACATTTTCTCCAAATCACTTAGAGAAACAACTTAACAGGCCACTTGAAGGAAAAAAAAAGAAAAAAAAAAAGAAAAAAAGAGTTGCTATTTGATCTGCATTACATCTCCTTAATGGTCCACTTGAATTTTTTTTCTCAGATAGAAAATGTATAAAATTGTCTTATGTAAATATCATAGGTAATTTAGTGATAATTTGTTGTCTGAATTATAGCATCTCAAATATGCAACCAATCTTAAAAGAACTGTGTTAGAAAATGCTTTATGTGACTTATTTTAAATATAATATGGTCAAGATTAAATTCAATTTAATTCAATCATCAATAGATGATGTGGTAGTGAATTACAGGTAAGCTGAGAGGGATGCAACCACACTTTCAGGTCTACAAATGGAAAGGACTTTTGGCTTACAAACATCATTTTCCACAGAAGTTATTGCAATATGACTTGGGGAGAGAAACTCAGACTCTCTTGGTGATTAAAAGACTGAAACTGGGTTTGGTTATTAGAAGACAAGGTAATGGTTGCACAGAAACTCTTCTGAAAACTAGTGAAAGCCTTGGATGGAACCTAAATAATTTTAGTCTGTGAAGACTGTTTTGACTGATTCCTCCAATTTAAACAAAAATTTCTTTACAAAAAAAGGTCAATTGTATTTCCTTTTGACAAAGATTTCATTCCAGGCTGCTTTGGATTTTAGAAATACAATCATCAGTCTTTGCTGATTTGTGAAATCTTATAGTTTGTAATCTGATGTTACCCTACTTAAAGGATTTTCTTCTTCTGACCCCTCAGTCTATGTATGCATATGGATGTACAAACTGGAAACCTTGTCTGTAATGAAAGTCCCTCCTTAAGGCATGCAGTTTTAAATCTTTTTTCTTTGTTTTATATCGTTTCATCTATAGTTCATGGAACAATCTTTTTCTAGTAAAATGCTTGCTTTTTATTCACTTCCAGTCTCATTAAAGAGAATGAAAAAATTATCTTTCAGAAGATAATTCAGTCTCACATCTTGCCCCATTTGTGCCTTTTCAAAGTAAGGCTAAATCTTTTTTATTTGATCTGAAACTATATAGAATTTTCATACAGATTAGTTTTTAATTTCCCATGAAAATGTCTTTTCTGAGACTGTATGTAGGCTTTAAAGGCATGATTATACATTCCTGAATGTGAAGTGATAAAGTACCTTTTACAAAGACTAAGGACACACATTATTTTTCAGTCTTGGCTCCATAGGCTACTTTACTCATCCCTGCCAAAGACAAATATTCCTTCAAATTTCCTTGTGGAGCTTCTCCCTGACCTCCTTCATCCCAAGTAATCCAGACTAGGATATTGTTAAATTAACCGTGAAAGGATCTTCAGTTGTCCAAAGCTTAGAGGTGATCCTAACTAGACTTTTTTTACCGTGCACAGACCATAATCCCTGAGACGATTGTCAATTTCTAAAGACTACATTTACATTTAGTTAAACGAGGACAGTCAATGTTTAAAATACAGAAATACGGTTTCTTCTGAATGAGAACATAAAAATATAGCAGACTTTTCTCTTCACATTCTTTGTCTCGGTCCAGCAAGATTTTGTGGCATTTTGGGTTGCAGCAGGCCCCACACAGGCTGAATATTCCTGCGAAATCTGAGCTCATGGCTTCCCCAAAGGCTAGGCTTACTTCCCTCTTCTGACTGCAGTTGTCTGCTCCGTTTTTTTGCATGACTTTTTTGTTTGTTAAACACCCCCAGCTTTCTGAAACAGTACAAAACACTCACTTTTGGTGGCAGCAAGCTGTCAGATTGGCCCAGCTGTCTTGCACAACCTCACCCTTGGTGTCTCTGGGTCACTAAGAAAGAATTTCTTTCTTCAAAGATTTGGCTCTCTCATTTTCTGCTTCTTTCAGGCATCTGCTAATATCTGCCCTCGCTGCAGGCTTCCTCCCCACTGGGCCATGCCCTCCTGCTCCAGAAGGCTTTCCCAGCTCAGGGCTCTCCTTCACCCAAGGCAGGGCAGGCACAGCAAGGCAAAGGGGAAAGGGAACAGGGTAGACACAGCACTCTGTGCATGCACTGATATAACAGCATCCCTCTCCCCCATACCCAGACAGGGGCAGCAGGGGTTGTAGATGTGCTGGAAGTCAAAGTCTTTGGGCTGGTGGGAGCGGGGGGTGCTGGAGCTTGGACTTCTTTCTGTTAGGAGAATTTTGGACCTCAATTCAGTGGTGATCATTTCAGGTTCAAAGAACGTACTAAAGAAGATGGGCTTCAAAAATAAAAGCACTTTGAATTGCAAGCCATGTGTCCATTGCTCTCCATTATGATCCTTGGCACACAAAGTATGCACATCTACACTTCCCCAGTCTGTTGACAGAATCAGGACAAGTCTTAGAGGTTCACCTTCTTTCCTAAATTGTCTGGAATATGTTGGCCATGGATGAATTGTCAATGACTTAATTTTCAAAATTACAGAACATTTATTTTCTATCTATTTTATAGGTATCAGTAGATGGTGACACCATGAAATAGCTCTTAAAATCAAACCAGGTGATGTATCTTACATAAAGATATATAAGGTATTTAGGAAAGAAATTTTGCCCAATATGGCATTATTTTTTAAAAATATCCAACACATTGTCAAAGAATTTAAATTACAAGACTGAAATGAAAAGTAAACTATAAAATATGGATCTATAGAGGGAATTGAAAACAGCATTGCAGTAACATGAAATGTTATGCATTTAGCAAAAGTTTTTAACTACTGCTTGCATGTGTTCTCTCTTATTGATTTTACTACAGATTAAAAATGTCTTCTAAGTGTTTTCTTCAAAAAGTCTGAAATACATGGGAATGTTGGGGATGCTACCCCACCATCAGACATCCTGCTTCCTTAGTTCAGTTTGTCCCTGTTCATTGGGATAGTTCCATTGGGAAACACACATTTGGCTCATGACCCTGATTCTTCCCAGAACACTTATTCTTACAAATAC